CCTTCTTCTTCTCCTTCTCCCTCTCCCTCTGCCCCCCCTCTCTCTCTCTCTCTCTCTCTCTCTCTCTCTCTCTCTCTCTCTCTCTCTCTCTCTCTCTCTCTCTCTCTCTCTCTCTCTCTCTCTCTCCCCCTCTCTCTCTCATTCTCATGAGAATGAAGAACTAGTGCTCATTATGCAAAAATTGCGGGTTATACATACTATGAAAGACCAAATATTGCTAACCCCTCTATCAGAGGGCTTGGCATTTACATAAAGAACTCAATTCCATTGAAAGTGATTGATGACAATCATGACAACTCCTGTGTTGAATATCTTAGTATTAAAATATTTCTTGATAGTAAATCAATCACCCTCATTAATGTATATAATCCACATGATAGTGAGGTGGTACCTAAACCTCCTGACTGCATGATGCATACTGATATTGTCTTTTTGTGTAGGGTTTTTAATGCTTGCCATCCTCTCCTAGGCTCCGAGGGAAGTACCACTGGCAAAAACGGTAAGGTTTATTATGACTATCTATTATGACTATACTAGTGACCCCATACACTTATTATGCCCCTTTGAAAAAACTCATTATTTGGGAGGGACATTGGACTATAGAGCTCTATATAATCAGCAAACTATACCAAGTACTGCAAAAGTCATCCCATTCTTAGTAAGTGATCACTGGGCATTAAGTATAACCCTACCTTAATGCAAAAGAACCCCACCCGAGCCACCTTCAATACCACATTGCTACTATATATCATGATGAATTTATTGAAAGAATTGCCTGCTGGTATGAAGACTATACTTCTCCCAGCCTAGATCACTTTAATGAAACCCTCTGTCAGCAGGTTGGCAATATCATTACTCAAATACAGCCCAAAAGCCCTGCCAATCACAGATCTTTATCCTCCAGAGGTAGACATGCACAACAACTGAACAAAGACCCTGAGATAAAACTTCTTTGGAGACTCATACAATCTACAGTAAGTCAGCTACGACACTTGGGGAAAAACCCGTACTTAGCGAGGGATCTTGTGTTTTTTAGTAAAAAGATCAATGAGATAATAACACGAAATGGGAAGAAAAATGTTATGCCTGGGCAGAATCAATTGACTCTATGACACCCATGATTAATGTGTGGAGGGAAATCAGCAAGATTAAAGGCAATACATGCAGTATAACACCCCATCCACATCCAGAAAGAATAGCCTTATCTCTCCTCAATAAATGGTGCGAGGATTCTTCTCTTGATAGTCTCCCATTATCCATATGCAGGTGCTCCCTTAAATTAAGCCATAACAACGAAATTGACTATCAGTGCCACCTCTCAGATGAGGCTGATGCACTATTTACAAGGGAGGGACTCCTTGCAGCTATTAAGATTACCTAATCCACTGCACCTTGGGATGATGGAATCACTTACGACATTATCCGACTTCTTGTAAAAGTACAGGTAAAGGGAAGAAATCCTCTTCTTGATCTCTTCAACTTAACCTACATGGCAGGCATCTTGCCTACTATTTGCAAATAGGCAACCATCATTCCCATTCCAAAACCAGGACGGCCTGATGAATATAGACCAATTTCTCTGACATCTTGCCTGTCTAAAACTTGTGAAAGAATCCTCCTTACTCGTTTACTCCCCCAGATCAAAGACATGATCCATCCATCTGTCTTTGGCTTTCAAAAAGGGAGAGGAACACAAATGTGTTTAGTACAGTACCTAAATGGACGTAATGCACAGTCTTCTTACTTCATAGATTTTAAGGGAGCATTCGGCTTTCAAAAAGGGAGAGGAACACAAATGTGTTTAGTACAGTACCTAAATGGACGTAATGCACAGTCTTCTTACTTCATAGATTTTAAGGGAGCATTCGACAGAGCCTTTCTCTTTTATGAGTTAAGGGCAAGCTTCTGCTATGGATAAAGGATAATATATCTTTGAGAAGAGCAAAAGTGTGGTATCAAGGCATCTATAGTGCTTATGGCGAATTGGAATTAGGCACTCCACAAGGGAGAGTATTGTCCCCTACACTGTCTAATATACTTATGCACTCTCTTTGATAATTCAATGATGAATAAGGAAACCTATGCAGCATCACATCCTGTGCTGATGACATTCTCATTCAGGTATTTGATAGGGGGGGATTATGTTCCACAGAGGTTCAGCAAAAAGTGTGCCTCCCTTGGTCTCATAATCAACCCAATCAAAACTAAGCATATTTCCAGATCTCATAAATTACCTTATATTCTAAGGTTAGGTGGACAAACTGTTGCAAGAACTGACACCTACAAATATCTTGGTGTTGTGGTGACTGCTCCCCACCCCATGTCCCACAACTCACGTTTTACTAAAGATATTGTTCAAAGCATCAAGGAATGTTGCCTTGAGCATTTAAGATCATTGCAGAACATAAGTAACAGATATGTAGGTGCCTCCCTGAGAGTCCTAAGGTTGATGTACATCTCCTTGTTAGGTCCATGATAGTCCGTGAGAATTATACTTGGA